TCGTGCGTTTCCTTCCATCTTCTCTGCATTTCCAGACACTTGTGACAGCACTGAGTAAATTGCACTAATGGGCTCAGAGGAAAGCAGTCTGCTAGTTCGAAAATCTGTTCTAAAAGGCTCCACTGTTGATGAATGGGTACCAAAAAATCAGGAAATTACCCTGACAATCCATTTTTGTAGCCTTTCACCTAGGTATGTAGGATGTTAGCTGTCTTTGAGAGGTCTTGTCATATATACCATGGCTTAAGATCTGAAGTCTTGTTTTCTGTTCATGTATGTAAAGTTAAGCACTTGTATAACCCATGGAGCACTGAGCACCTGTAGTGGCACAATTGCTTACGAGGAAGGAAATTTTCATTACATACAGTATACTGAGTGATGTGTGGAACATGGAATATTTGGTAGCAGATGATTCTACCATTCTGAGTGATTAAATAGATCAGATTAAATAATTTTAAATGTGCATGTGCAATCTAGGCTCTTTTTCTTAGGGTGCACAGTTGTGGTTTCTTAGTTACTGGTATGATCCAAACTAGGTTGAAGAATCTCATTGACTTATTTGGAAGAGATTCTCAAATTGCACTACCTTATTTTCAGTTTGATTTTTTTGACTCTCCCTGCTCATTTTTGATCTGATTAATTAAACCTTTTTCTGGGATGCTTACTTTTTGGGGAGGAAAAAAGGGGGTGGGGTCTGATGACATACAATTACTATTTAGAGATTAAAAACTCTCCAGATTGCATCAAGATGTGAAGGTTCATGAAAGGCAAAGGTCACTTGTGAGTAGTCTGGAGAAAAAAACCCAAGGAAATTAGAGAGGGATTTGTTAAAAATACCTACATATAATCTAGGCCAGAAGAATATTTTTCAGGCAAATTAGTAACTTATTATGATACACTTAATTTGTATTACAGCATAAAATACTATTAATTTTTGAGTTTCTAGAATATTTTACAACTTGTCAAAGAATAATTCTATTAACTCTGAAACCACCTCTTTCCACTGTCCCCTGCTCTTTATCAAGGCACTCTCATATCTTGCTCAGACTGTTCCTTTAGATGGACTTGAGCATCTGCTATGTTCTCTGTCCATGTACAACACTTCCCTCTCCAGCAAGAGTATCCTGCCTCTCCAGTCCCTGGAGGAAAAAAGATCCCTTTCTCTTTTTTCTTTTTTTTGTTTTTGTCTTTTTGGCCTTTCTAGGACAGGACTGTGTGCAATGTATCTCTCCTACAGTCACAGCTTTGTCAGACAGCTGTAAAGATAACATCTCATCTCTTTTTTTCTTGTAGAGCACTTTTCGTCAAAGTGCTTTTTTGTATAAGAATGTGCTAACCTGATGAAGATGCACTCGTTTCTTCTTCACAAGTCTTTCTCCATTTATATGTTAACCATTTTTGTTAAACTACCCTTGAATCTGTATGGTTGAGCAACAAACCTTCACTGGTTTATGTGTATCAGGATTTTCAGGAGGGAAATGGCATATGCAGCAGGAACTGCAATCCCTTTTTGCCTGAGTGTGAATTCAGAGTGAATTCAGAGATTTCTGACAGCTAACTTGCTTCAAAAGTCACAGTTCAAAAATAGAATGCTTTCTTCTATGTTGTTAAAAGCAATCTATTAGAAACAGGTCTCTCAGGCAGATTACTAGCGAGATATGCCTCTGCATTATTGTAGCTGAACACGGGTTATAGGTTACGCTTCTTTTATAAACAAAAACTTGTCACAGGTATAAGAACTGACTCAGAATTTGATGTAATCATAACCTGAAAATGCTGCTGCTGTTACTGTGCACGATCTGGGTGAGTCCTGCAATCAGCTTTGGCCTGTGACCGGCAAAGGCTGCCTGCAGAGCAGTCTGCTGCAAGTCTTTTCCTTCAGCTGTGCTCTGACCTGAGAGTAGGGCTGGCAATAATAACAACTCAGATGTGAGATAGAAGAAGGTGCTGGGGAGGACCTGGGTCAGAGAACAAAGTAATTTTGGGATGATTTCTTCTCTACAGAATTTTAAAAGACAGGTAGGAGCTTGTGGCTGCCAGGGCCTGTGTACTGCCTGTCTGTGCTCTGTGCTCTGTCCAACTGCGCTTTCCTCCTTCCAGCTCCCTTCCCTCAGCAGCAGCCCTTCATGTATTGCTCTGAGATGTGTATTCCTGTCTCTGCCAAGTGATCCATTCCTCTGGTTAGAGAGTTATTCATCTAAAAGGCAGTTAGAGGAGCAGTTGCAGTTTACCTGGGAAGATTGCAGCTTCCTCAGAAGGGTGGTGTTAGCTTTTCTTGCTTTAGAATTGGAACATCTCATGTTACTGCACTGGGGTTGCACAAAGCAGAGAGGTCTAAACAGGGGCAAGTCTACTGCTCCCATGGCTTAGCCTACAATTCACAGCAGCAATTCACTGCTCTGGGTAATGTATCCCCTCAGATGAGATGCAGTGTCTCTCATCTGTCACTTGACATGGTGGGAAGAAAAGCTGGGACTGTCCCATTTCACTGGGCCTTATTTGCCCTTTGGAAAAGAACAAAGGGGAAGGACTTCATCCTATGAAAAATATTTTAGAAAAATCATGTTTTAGAACTGCTTGTGCTTTGATTTTCAGTGAAGTGGTTGATTGAGGATGGGCTACTGAAGAGAAGTCAAGCCATTGTAAAATAATTTTGAATTATTATACACAAACTTAGGTCAGAATAAACTTTAACTTTATTGGTATGGAATAGTGCTTTTGAAAAGTAAAAATCCAAAAGTTTGAATACAGAATACAGTCCCATTACTTTGTTTTCCATATGGCTGATATATTAATTATCTTTAGAATACCCTAAAGGTGGCCATAAATCTTTACCATCAATTCATATATATGTGCTTAAAAGTTGATTGGTCATGGACCTTGACTGTTGGTACATGCTATTTAGACCCAAAAGAGTAATCTTTTGAGAAGAATAGGATAGTGTCTATCTAAAGAAAAGCAGTAATTCAGCAGTGTGGTGCAGTTTGGAATTTTATGGTCCACCTTCAGAATACAGTGTATTATAGTAACTTTGGGCAGATAATTTCCTGTGAGTGTAAAATGAATGAAAGTTTTATGAGCTGTTCACTTTTTATTAGCATATCATGGATTGTAAATTATGCTGTATTAGTAAGGGGCTGGTGTTTCTCATAGGGCAATGTTAGTCCTCTTAACATTCTTCCAAATTTATTGAAAGTTTTTAGTCAGTACAGCAAAGAAACAACTGCCAGGCATTTTTTACATTCATAGGAGTCCTTAATTGGCTAACAGACGTACTTCAGTATTATTCCCAGGAACTAAACATGTCTTGTACTCTGGTGGTATTCTTAGCCTGAGAAACAGATACCATGCAATAGCCAGTGAGTCACTGTGCCCAGCACTGCTTTTCCTTCACAGCAGTTTTAAGGAGAACGAATGCTTTGCTTTCCCATCTCTGTGTCTAATTTTAGTATGCCAGTGGGCCCGAGGACTTTCAGGCCACCTTCTCAGATAATGTCATCCAAAACATTCAAACTTCAAAATGGCTGGGTGTTACTGCTGTCTGACATTGTATCTGTGTATAAAACATCTCCTGTTCTTTATGGATAAATACACAGGGGCACTAAATGGACATGAGGGAGATTTGTCTTGTTACAAAGTAGAATTTGGCTCCTGGGACATTTGTGACAGTCATAAAAATCCCACAAACTGTTCTTTCTATCCTTTTGCATTACTGGGCTATTAAGGGTAAATGTCTGTCTTGAAAGGAAGTTAGATCTTGCAGCTCAAAGTATCTGCTTTTATATTTTCCTAAAAGATGGGTGACTTGTCCAGAACATACTTATATCTCTCTCCCCTATGTTGTGAGTACACACACAGAAAAGAATAAAAAAAAAAAAAGGAAAGGATTTATAAGTAATGTTAAGTAGTTTTGTTAATGCACATCTTGTCCAGCCTTATGACCACGTATATTTGGCATCATAAGTCATGGCTGAATTTGACTTTGCTGTAATTTTCTGCTATTTATAGTAGAAGAAATCCCTTATGCTCTCTATAAACTATTTTAAATTATATATATATATATATATATATATATATATATAAATATACTATTTTAAATAAGTCTTGCAGTCACCAAAAGCAGCAATATAAACTGATCTAAAGCTAGTGTGAGTAACCTAAGCTACACATATAACTGCAGAAAAGAAATGAAAGCTTTTAAAGATCAGTAATGTATTATATTGTAACATACTATATGTTACTGTATGATATTATTATATCAGTAACATATTATATTATGCTTTGAAAACTTGTAAATTTGTTTGAGACCACCTGTCAAAGACAGCATTTGTTTCTTGCAGGCTTTGGTAGAGTAGTGCTGCATGCCCAAAGTCATGTAGAAGTGGGTTTAGAAGTGATGTATTCCCAAGGTTTTTTTCCTAATATTTAACACATTGTTCTTATGTGCTTAAGCTGATCTAAAAATCTTTTTAATACATGTGATTTTTCATGTAGTGCTGTTTTATTGAGGAAAAAAAAAAAAGAAAAAGGAATTTTGTGTGACCATAGATGTAAAAAATAGCATTTTGTGTAAATAAATGCTCACTTGAAAAACTGAAAATTTATATGTTTACCAACCCAAAATGTCTTTAAGTTATGTCTGTTGTGTCATGAAGTGGTCATGAAACTGCAGCCATGTTATCAAATGATTATTGGACAATTGCTTTAAAAAACATTAAAAAGTGAAAAAGAGGAAACAGATTATTAGTGGGATTTCAGTTATTTCCCATTTAGTACTAAAAACCTATCAAAGAGTATGTCTGATTTTAATTTTTTACTTAAAATGTAGTTTAAAATGACTCTAAGTTCATTGACCTTTGTGGAGATAGAAAGTGGCAGTATTGATTGAATTCAGTGCTACCTATTTTCATGTCCAAAATGTCCTGTACCCAAATGAAAATCAGAAAAAGAGATAATATAATTTCATTTTGAAAACTAACTCTGCAAAATTATTTTTCCAGAAAGAAAATAATTGAACAGCAATGAACAAAATTTTATATTTACAATAGCTTGATCAATCTTCTCAAGTAAGCAATTCTTTATATATGTAATTGAAAGTGTTTTCATATTTAGTTTCCTGCTATTTATTTTTTTTCCCAGGATATGTCTATGACGAAGTCTCTCTTACATTTTTTTAACACAGGTATCTATTCATTCCAGAACTAATATTTTCTACAACCAGAGACTGAAATGGCATGACTGGAGTTTTAAGTAATTTGGCTTTGACATTTTCACCATTTATTGAGAACTTGGAACAGAATTTGAACTCTATTTCTGCACTATCCTAGGTTATAATGCCATCCTTTCCTAATGAGGGAGGTATGCGAGTCTTGGATTTTTAATATATCCTATGAATTATTCAGTATGCTTGTATTTATAAGTTGTGATGGAATACTGTTTGTATTTTTAGTTAATTTGTATAAATTATTTGAGATATAAAAATGCTGATAGTTACAATATTATTTTTCAAAGATAACCATGGAACTGCTCCTTTGTCTTTGAGTTCGGAACTACCCTATCAGAGCACAATTAAAAGAAAAGTCCGAAAGAAGAAGAAGAATGGAGTCATCACTGCTAATATTGCTGGCACAAAATATGAAATTGGTAGGAAGCTACATATTTTGTTTTCAACCTGATAGCCTTCGATGTGAGACAGTTACTGATTAATGGAGTGAATCAATGGACTTTGCATCAAGCTGACAGACATTTCTGAAGGATTTTCTTTTGTAAGAAACCTGGGGTTTTCTTGTAACATTTAATTCATAGCTTTAGATACCGTGCATCTATAATCCCCATCTGTTACTCATATTAATTCCCACTTGTTGCATTAAAATTTAAAAACTTAAGTAATCAAAAAGGCTGTGGAAGAACCTTTCAAATATGTGTTATGTATGTGTTTGGAAGTTTACTTAAATCCTTGAAAGATGAGCAGTGTAAATTCAAAGTTAAATACTCTGTTATACAAAGGCTTCTCAATAAAATCCATTAATGTTTTGTATTTACATGTTTGGTACTAAAATATTTTTTTCCAAGAATCAGAGTTATGCATGACACTAATCAGTCTTTTTTTAAAAAAAAATTAAAATGCATGCATTTGCAACACTGTACCTTGTCTAAGGAGGCATTTTTGTCCTTATCTGCAGTGACACAGTCATCACTGTTTAAAATTAACTTACGGCATAACCAAGATTAAATCTAACTGTTGTACAAGAAGATTTTTGCTGGATGATTGGGGAATACCTTGAAGCTCTTTGCAGTTCCCATCAGTGGTTGTGCAGATTCCTGCCTCACTGTAAGGTGCTGTAACATTGTAATGGCAGATTTGCAATAGACTGATGGAAATATTGCAAGATAAATAGCTTGCCATGCTAACAGTGTTCTCAGACCAAGGGTTCTATATTGGAAGTGTTTAAAATCTTAATTGATTTTTCAAATGTTGAAAATTAGTCTATTTTAGAAATTCAAAAGAGTCCCTAAGTGTGTGATTTCTCCACAGTGCGTGTAGTAATACAAGAAATGGGATTTGTGAAAACGCGTGATGAGGATGAAACAGCAAATCTTATCTGGAGTGATTGTGCTGTGCAGCAAGAGAAGATTGCTGAACTGCGGAACTATCAGGTACAGTGGTAGTTAAGATTTTTGACATGTTACAGCTTCACTCTGAAATGTACCATAATTGTCAGTAACTGCTCAGTTCCATTTGTGTGGAGGGGACAAAAAACCCACACAAACCACAACCAACCAGGCTGCATGAAGGCAGTACCACTGCATAGCTTAAAATCCTGCTCTCTTTTCCAGAGTTATTTGCTCTTACCAATTGGAATCTGGTGTGTAAATATTTGGGGCTGTTCTTTCATGCTTTTTTCTGCCAGCTGAGTATTGTGAATGGTCAGTTTAAAGAAGATATAAAACATCAATTATAAGTTTCTCATAAACTTTGAAGCAGTAAATTGACTTCCAGAGCTCTCTCCACAGTCCCGTGAATAAATATTTTCCTTTTTCACCATTACCTCATGTTTGCATTCTTTGTTTCTAGATCACTTTGTGAGTAAAAGTATGATGGTCTCATATATGCAATTAAATTAATGGACACTTTTATTGATGGAAGAGAAACTTGCAGCATCTTTAGCATTGCTAAGAATAGGTAGTATAGTGTAAGATATTATCGTAAATAATTTAGATGTAACACTTACTTGTGTTTGCCTGAGCATGCAGTTGAATGTTTTAAATGATTGTAATTAGGTATGCCAGAAAAAATAAAAAGTCTCAGTTAATTTTCCTTTTTTTTCTACTTCCTCAGAGAATCAACCATTTTCCAGGAATGGGAGAGATATGCAGAAAGGATTTTCTAGCAAGAAACATGACTAAGTAATATTTCTTTTAATATTAAGAAGTTTTCCACCTGTAGTATTTAATGCAAAAATATACAGAACTATTGCTTTTGAGACATGTTTTTTTTTTATTAAGAAACTAGGAGAGAATCAAGAATAATTTCCAAAGTTCTTTAATAACTTTAGCTTTGATCCTGGATCTGTAGTATTGGAGTGAGCTACTTTATTTCTCCAGTAGACTTCAGTGGAATATTATGTGAGTTCACTTCTCTATCTAAACATTGCAGAATGTAGGTGAGTATTGAATTATTGTACAATAAACCTAGTACATAATATACCCACTATCACATAACAGTAGAACAGAAAAAAATAACTTTATGTGTCTGGATAGTGCATCTGGACTATTCTGTGCAATGTGCTCTTGGATAACCCTGCTTCATCTGGGAGGCTGGACCAGAGGACCCACTGAGGTCTCTTCCAACCTGACCAATTCTGTGACAGTACTTGTTTAAAATAGTTAATGGCTGTGTTTCTGTGTATATCAAATTTAAAAAATGTGAAGCATCTTACTCTTTATATAAAAAATAGTCAGTAAGGCTCATTTGTCTAATTAAAAATTCTTCTCACTCTAGCTGATTAACTGGGTTCTAAGGAATTATCCTAGCTGAGAATCTGTGAGCAAGCCTTGTAAGAAAACAATACTAAATAATGATCTGATAGCCTGATAGTAAGGAAAGGTTTGAGGGTAAATATATGTCAACATTTTAATCTAGTCTAAATTAGTTTGTAGAGCAAATATTAATAGAGTTAATCTTTTGGCCCTCAACCTGACTTGCACAACTTAACTGCTAACAGAACAGAATATGTTTTAGTTTGAATGTAATTAATGTGGTATTTTTTCTCTCTCTTTCTCTCTCTCTCTCTCTCTCTCTCTCTCTTTCTCTCTTTTAATTTCTTTCTCATTTCTATTTTGTAACTAGAACATATAACACATAGAATGTATGCAACTATTATTATGGAAATACTGTGTGCATTGCTGTGGTGTCTCCATGTCCTACGTGTGGACCAGAGCTCCTCTGTGTCAGTGGTGCTGCACAAGCTCTTTTCACTGCTCCTCTCAGACTGAAAATAAAAACACAGAGATATCACACGAAGGCAAACACTGTTTGGAGAGGTCTTGGAAACAATCAGTCAGCTTGGTACACAGTGGTACCTCTGTGTACTGCTGCAGTTATGTGATCTTTTTTAAAAATATGGAAAATGGAAAAAAGGCTCTTGTTATCATCCACACATTCTTTCAAATACAGTCTGATGATACCTCTCTCACCCTACTGAATTCTGAGTCCAAAACACAGTTTAAAGTTACTCTGTGCTGAGATTGCACATATAGATAGGATGAGAATAATTTCTCTTACACTCTAACTCCACGTCAAACACTGATGTTGTGACTTCACTTAATATCAATAGATATAACAGGGCTTAATCAGTTGGTTTCTTTTCTCAGTACTGGCTCTCACAACTCAATTCTTAGTATTCATACTTTATAAAAATCAAAATGATATGCCTTGAGATTGCTGGTGAAATCATAAGTCAGTGGGATATGTTCTTGAGCAGACTCTTGACTGTAGAATTCAGGATTTTGTTTCCTACAGCTCTTGTTGTGTCTTAAAATTTGAATGTGAAGAAACACTAATTCTCTTGTCTTGTTTACTGCTGCATGCCATCTTTTCTATTCCCATTACTTACTCTACTGATTACTATCATTGAGAGATATTGAAACTATATTGAGAATTGGTAGAGAGTAGACTTTTTTCTACTTCCATGTTACTTGTACTGATTTCACCCTTCCATTTTATGCAAGTCGTTGGGAATAAAGTGAAAGAACAAATCTACCTTGCTTTGAGAGGAAAATACTATTTAGGAGGTAATGCACTTCAGGAGTTCTTTTTGCAGGCAATATCCAGGCACTCTGGATCACAGGACAATGTGGAATGCAGAAAGGTGCAAGGGAACAGTGCAATATGTAACACGTGTAATATGAAAGAAGACAACTCAGCAAAGAAAGTGTAGGAGCACAGAATACTGGAACAGATGGAAAGAGGAATGTAATTGAGAAAAAAAGGCAGGCATGAACATAATTTTCCTGGATAATAATCAGAACACAGAAAAGAAAAAAGTAAAAACAGAAGTGCCATTGTAGGGACAACTAGATCCTAAGAGACCGTTGTGAAGGGTCTCTTAGAAGAGAGCTCCTCTTGTGAAGGATAAGTGTGGTTACAAAATGAATTCAGTGAATGAGGGAGAAAGGGCACAGGATGAGTGGGAAGGGACACAGATCCATCTATGTGATATTGTTTTTTCCAACAGTCTTGTTGATTATATTTAAAATGTTCATGAACGGACCATGGATCAAGAGTCATTCTCATCCATACATACCTACTAACTCTTCATATGTGAGAAGTCAAAGGATTTTAAAATTTAGGCAGTGGAATCTGCATTATTAGACTGAAGGTTGTGCATTTAGCAAGCCATGTTTTGTTCAACACCATTGATTCTTTTGTACAGAAAGCATTCTGAGATCAAGAGCACAGTCTGACCACATTTGTGAGCTAAAATAGTATTCAGAAGAACAATAATTTGCTATTTATTTCTCAGATCTCCTGATAAGGACAGCAGTGGCTAAAGGATAGAGCAGCACAGCGATAAAGTGGTTACTCATAGTAGTGGACAACCCATGTGCTGAAAAATAGGGTTATTGTAATTGAAAAGGCTTTGATTCCACAGGCTACTTAATGATGTTCCTAAGCCCTTTCTGAACAGGGCCTTGCAGGAAAAGAACAGAGCAGAATTCTTTTTTTTGAAAGTTTTAGTAAGCCCCAGAACCTATAAACAATGCTGACATATTCCACTTCATAATATTGTTTATAATCCTCCCAATTATGCATTAAAAAGAAAAGGCATATAGAACTGATATAATTTCAGTCACAAAATAATATCAATATGTCAGGAATATCTTGAAGCTATATTCAATGAGTAGGGAGTGTGTGTATTGAAACCCTTGAGTAAGTTAAATGGCAGGTCTCTAGCACATAACGGCATGCATATGATAAATAATCTGGAGAGGGATTTAAACTAACACAGAAATTGCTTTTTGCCTAAAAATAGGATAATTTCTGCCTAGATAGGGTACTCAGTTGGCAAAGTAATAACATTTGCAAAGACAGAGCAGATGGAGAGTAGTTTAACAATATGAATGAATCAGAAATTATAATGTCTACTTCTGGTTTCAAAAAGTTTTTCTGAGTATTTAGTGGCTTTCATTGAACTAGATTTGTAAGAATAATAGTTACAATGAAGCTGCAGAAGCTCTGAACCTCATGCAATACTGCTGTAGCTGTTGTGGTTTCTGCAGAGTGTTTGCTGGGTATTTGGCTACAGTTTGGTGACAGCATATCCATTATACCAGTAGGGCTTGGCTGCAGTCCTAGCCCTACACATGTGGCTGAGAGCTGTTTTTTCCATTAGTATTTTAGCCACTTAAAGAAAAAGTATCTGCCCAGGAGTATTATGTAAGCTCATGGTAGAAATGAAAAATGGAAATGATGTTGCCTCTTTTACATGTTAGTTATGCTGATGCTATTAGTTTTCAATACAAAAGGAGAAATATACGTAAATCTGTATTTGATGAAAAAGTATTAAACTTTACCATAATGTCATTTAAAAAAAAATAAAATCAAAGTTGGGGAACTTCCTGTATCAGTTAATTTCTTTTTAAACTTCCAGTTCCTTTCTGTTGGTCTGTGGATATTTGTATTTTAGACATGTTCATTCTAAGCTACAGAGTAGTTGTGAGTTACCTGAACTAATTTCATATGAGGTTCTGTATGAAGGAAGTTTCAGGTACTCTGAGTACCTGAAACAAGCAAGCTGCACGAGGATGTAACTCAGCAAAGACTAAATTTATCCAGCTGTGAACTATGACACCAGTGTGCATAGTACCACCAAATCCCCATTGCTCCTGTACCGTGGCTGATAACAAGCATTAAAGCAACCCAAGTGGTGTGGGTATATCTTCTTGCCTGCCACATACACAGCTCTGGGTGCTGGAAACTCCTGCTTCCTGAATTCTTTACCATTCTTCTTATTCCATTTTGCTTCACAGACAGCAGAGGTATAGAATGAGACATACTCACTACCTCAGCTGCCACAGCTATTAAAGTAGGGAGACCAGGACCTTGCTACATCCTTTCCCCTGATTCAGAGTTTGATTCCCTATTTTTATTTTAGCTCTTTTAGTTCTTCTGTTACACCCCTTCACCCTTCCTCCCTCCCTGCTTGGTCTTGCTTTGAATGTCTTTGCTTTCTTTTGATTGAATTAGGTGCTCTTGGAATCTTAATCCAAATATACTGGGACCAGACACTAATCAAAGCTTGTGTGATTTGTCCTATATTGGAGATGAATGAGTTGCTTGGCCTATGTCAAAGTCTATTTACTGCAATTCTTTATTTTTAAAATTCTTTCAGAAGGAACAAAAAGCTCTTCCTTAATTGCTTCCATTTTAATTTTCATTTCAGTCTTTTTTTTGCACCCAAGAAGAAACTCCAAATATCCCAACTCCTCTTTTTCGTGTCTGTTGGTCCTCATACCTCCCCAGACACTACCAATATGAAAATTAAAATACTTCCCAAATACCACCACCC